TAACAAGTTCACTTTCTATCTTCTTAAAATTTGGGTTTTATTTAATATTTTCTCTCATATACCCCACACGAAAGAACTTTTTCAATATGTATTTCTTGAATAAGATACATAATAGTATTACTTCTCGGTTTAATTTTTTGTTTGACTTCATGTGGTGTGTATTTTTTTTTTTTCGTGTTTTTGGTATTCTGTCAAGCTTAATTATTTTTAATTAAGAGTTTATATATGTGTGTGTATATATATGTATGAATTCATACAAGTTTGCAACAAGGAGGAAAAACAAAGCATTGTAATCGTTGATTACTTATAATTGTACATATAAATTATTTTCGTAGATATATTCAACAGATTTCTTTGATTCAATTTGTGTCAATTTAAAGAGAAGTTAATATTGTTGTCCACACTATAACAACACAAGCTATTCCTCTTCATATTAATCTAATTGAGGTTATTTTGACATAAGCTAGAATAGGTTTAGATAATGTACATATACAGAAAGTGCTGCACTGATCTTACTCATCGATTCATATTTAAAAAGTTTTTTTGTGTAGAATGTATAAAAGGAGACGGTGAATGAAACCCTAGTTATGAGAGAATAGAAGATAAACTTGTCATTAAAGGGATGTATTTAGTTAAAATAAAATTGGTATAGAAGGGATGAACATAGTTGTTAAAAAATAAAAAATTTAGTGAGGAGGGAACGAATATTTATATGGGGTGGGAATTCCACCCAAGAAATAAAGAGAATTTGTTCAAAAAAATAATAAAGAGAAAGGAAATTTACCCATTATTCCTCTTGTAGTTTGACCCGACAACACAATAACCATCTATATTTTAAAAACTTGAGATTAAGTCCCTATGGTTTTTTTTTAATCAAACTGGAACACTTAGAAATTATATTAAAGTACATTCAATTAGCAAAAATAAATATTTTCAATAAAAACAACATATTAAAATTATTTTTCCACCCCTATACTATTATATTTATTTTCGTCTCCCCATCTAAAACAAAACTCTCTCTCTCTCTCTCTATGTTCCATGTAATCATAGATATTCATTATGTACATAATTTTCCGATTAAAAAAACCAAAAAAAAATCTAATATAATTCTCCGCAACTTCATGTAAATTTGTAACAAGTGTTACTAGGTCAAACCAGCTTAAATTATAATGTCAGATACGTTAGAAGCATCCAAATAGAGAGACTAAGAGCAGTCTCTAGTGCATCATTTTCCTGAGTCCAGATAGTCAAAAACTACAACTAACAGAAGACTAATGTGATTACCTTGACTTCAAGAAGGCTTAAATTAATACAAAAAAATGCATAATTGAAGGAGAATATCACCCATATTTTCAGCTTTGTAGACTTTCTACGATGAGACCAAGAGTATTGGCACCAGCAATTGTGTTTTGCCAACTTTCTCTAATTGTCGTGAAGGAGAATTTGTTGGACAATTAAAGTAAGAATCCTATATAGAATAGGATTATATTGGAAGAATTTTAAAATACTATAAATTGGTATATTAGACATGTGATATAAAACATTAAGATCAAGTTGTATTTGAATAAAAATGTGTATTATGTAATCAATTACCAGATGATCAGATTTCAATGACTAATACATTGATATAGATTTTTAATTTGTGGATGTAGATACAGTATATCAATGTGGGTATGCTGTATCGAACCACATTATATCTTTGTGTTATATTTTTATTGTTTTTCAATATTTGAATTCCTATTTTTCAATAAGTATTATTTGTGTTAACTATCTGCTGTAAAAAACCAACAAGTGATATCAGAGCCAAGTTGACGCTCCTAGTGCAACAATCAGAACTAGATTGACAATCCTGATGTAACAATCAAAACAAGTTATTAGCGATTCAATGATTTAGTTGGTGTTCATGTTAAAGAAGACTCTCTTGCCACATATATACAATTCATATTTTTGTTTAGATTCACAAGAAAAAAATTAAAGTTGGTATGAAACCAGACGGAAGACTAAGTTACGTCCTGTTTGTTAGAATTTCAAGAATTACCACATGCTGTGTTGAAGATGTTTATTCAAGTTTTTGGACTCTTAGAGTTGAAGTCGCGGTATTCTAATGATTTGAAAACTATTGGGCTGATCCAATAATGATGATGTGGTGTCTCGTGACTTACGAGTCATTGGGCTTTACCTTTGAATGGTGAAACATTGACCATTGAGACCTCCCAAGAACAAATAAGATGCATGCAGAGATACACAGATGATCTAGGCCAAGACGCAAGTTCTTAAAAAACAGAGAGGATTGTGATGATTCAGAAGAGCAGGTTTGCACGTGGTGGTTGAAAAAGTTGGTGAATCAAAATCAAAGGTGCTAATCCCGATGTTGGGTATGACCAAATTTGAAGAGTTTGGTTCAAGGGAAGCTGTTGGAATTTAACTCAAACTTTCTATTTATCATGAAAGAGGCTTTGTTGGACAATCAATGTGAGAATCCTATATGGAATAGTATTATATTAGAAGAGTTTTAATATACCATAAATTAATATATATTAGATATGTGATAAAAAAACATAAAGATCAAGTTGTATTCGAATATGCTTGTGTTACAATACTTTATTCCTATAAATAGGAATGTGTATTATGTAATCGGATGACCAGCTTTCAGTGAATAATACATTGATGTAGATTCTTGATCCATGGATGTAGGTACAATATACTAATGTGTATGTTGTATTGAACCATGATATATTTTTGCGTCATATTTTTATTATTTTTTTATCTTTGAATTCATATTTTTCAATAAATATTATTTATATTAATTATCCACTGTGCAAAACGAACAAGTGGTATCAGAGTTATATTCCAACAAGTGGTATCGGAGCTATGTTTCCACATGCTAGCTATAGCAGCAGAATGGAATGATACGAGGGCAAGAAATGAAAATTACTAGACATTCTTTTACGTTTGACTACTTGTTCTATTCTAAATCATTACAACTGATATGGGATAACCTATTTGAAACAAAGATTTTTGTAACGGCTTGGTGTATCAAACTTGGCTTATACATTAGATGTATTATACTGCATCGACATCCTCACAATAACTGTATTTGAATGAAATTCAAAGCCTATTCTTGCAAATAACTCGTTCAAGGAAAGAAAAAAGTCCAATTGATCTCACTAACAACTTTAAACTATGAAAGACAAGCGTAATGATACATGGACTTAAAAACTAAACTTAAAAATTAGACTTGATAATCTCAATCATTGAATAGGTAATGGACTCCAATAAATGCTGGGACTTACATTGAAATTAATGATTGAGATTATCAAGTCTAATTTTTAAGTCTACTTTTTAAATCCATATAGCATTACTCGAAAGACAATGCAAGAGTCTCCCGTCACTTGACGGTATACCACAAAAGATAAATGTAATGGCAAGAAAAGCAAGGTGTCAAAGCCCTTGGGGCCAATGACAACTTTGCCCATATATAGGAGAATATGAGATCCAGCAGAGAGTTTCAGGTAGGGAAGTTTGGAATAGCCAAAAGTGTTGGGTACATCTATTGTGTCCAAGCCCTTAACCAAAGAGAACAGTTTCTTAGATATCAGAAAATTTTACCACAACCAATGGTAGAAAACTGCACATTATTGTTAACATCAAAGCTACCCAAAAACATAAAATCCCGGAAAAAAAAAAAAGAAATTCGTTGAAATTGCATTTCTTCAATTCGAGACTACTCTTATTAAGGATAAGTATTTCACCAATAGAATTGACTTTCTAAACAGCAAGAAAATGAATATATAAAAGTATTACGAATAAGATATGCACCAGGGTCAGATCCACTCCAATAAGATTTGTTGTGCTATGGTGGAGGCCTAATAGGGAGACATTCTCCACAGGTGACAAATTTCAGCAAATTCCGCGGCTTCCTCGTCCTAGTTTTCAAACGTGACAGCTGCATTGTACAAAATTCGTAAGATAATTAAACAATCAACAAAAGAACACACAGTGTATATTATACAGGTAAGAAAATTTTCAAAATAAATGCTGCAGAACAATTTACTTAAATTCTGTATTGAAAATCCACAATGTCGCGGCATCTGGTAGAAATATGCAAAAGTATGTGGCAGTTTCAATAATTTTTTGTAATATTTCATATTAAATAATTAGTATCTCAAATTAAATAGTAGATTGGCCACAAATATCTTTAGCATGCCTGGAAAGTTTCAGATAGCTCTTGAGTAATGATGACCATGATGATGACTGCCACCAAAGAATAATAAAATTAACAAACAAAAGAGCTACTATTCCCAAAGAGGTAAACATGATGTAAACGGATTTTCACAGGTGGGTGAGATTGGAGCAATTGGGGTGCGGGAGCATTATACTTAAGAGTAATAATGGCCCGCGGTTTGTATAATTTCCAGATGTATAATAATAAAACAGAAGCATACAAGCAGCAATATCTATTAACAGGATGGCATGTCTTAGACATATAAGGCAAGTTATAAATTCTATCACACCCACCCAGATACTACCCCACTTAACACAAATCATTTGTAGATTGAACACAATTTCTTATCTCCTGAGATCAAGATGTTGTCCTTGACTAATTAGCCTCTAGTAACCCCCCCCCCCCCCCCTCCACTTAGGACATTATCACATTACCATTATTAAATGTTGAAATGTTTCACATTATGTGTTTTCCATGTATAAGTTACTTATTAACCAATATACGTACAGTATAGTCATGCATGGAACACGGATTATTAGTTATCCAATAAATGTGTACAAAGCCCTTTGCCACATTATGCCACTCATCCAATATTGATGTACTAAGCAAAAATGATGACCAGTTCAAAACAACGATGAGCAGTTGTGAAGTTTTTTCATTTGGATTGTAACAAATAAAATTGCATCACACCAAGGAAACACTATTGCCATCATTTAGACATAACCACAGTAGCTCTAGTACGCCAGTAAATCAGCACTGGTTGTTTAGTAGTATATCATGCATTCTGCAATTCGAAGTGGACAATGCTTATTGTGAAAGTCTGCAAGACATTAGGGCACAGAAGAAACAATTAAGTCTTAAGCCTCCATATTAAAGAAAGTTAACTTTGGAAAGTTATGATCACGCGAATTACCTTCCGATGGGTTACTTTTGATGCCTTCCAGCAAAGAAGGCTTCTTGATCTAGGTTCCAATCTTCTATAACACAAGAAAAATCAACTATCAAGTCTAGAGATATAATCGAGATAAATTAGAAAATAAGAAAGTTCATACCTACTTGACAAATCATAAATCAATTGCCTTGACAATATTCCATTGGTAGATAATAATTCAGGACTACTAGTGGAAACATGCAACTTTACTCCAGGAACACCTTATGCAAATGAAGCTTCATTTGGAACTAAGGAAGATAAATCAGAAAAATGATTCTTGGAACATAAGAAAACTTTGCCAAAGTAACTTCTTATACATAACCTTGAAACTGCCAAGAAGGTTTGTACTTTCACCACATCTAATTGCTTATAGTCATGTTTACTTCTCTTTGTTCTTTAGCTAAGAATTTGAACTTTAAAGTCATGTTCTGTTTCCATATCATTTTATTTTTTCAATTGTGGAACTCTGACTGAAAAGTTCCTTATCTGTCTCATTTAGATTGTGAACATGTCTTGATAAAAGGAAGAGAGAAGTGAGATCCACCTAATGATTATACATTTGATGAGCGTCCGTAGACTCTGTACAATGATTGTCTTGGGCCAAAAGTAGTATTGTTCATTGATAGGTGTGCCAAACAGAGTTACAAGAATATGCTAATATGCTAGCAATCTTTATTTGGAATCACATGTTCTACAACATAGACGACTTCGTGGTCTAAACGTTCTATGTAGCTATTTAAGAAATACTTTCTTCTTTCTCAGTGGGTTTCCTATACGACAAGAAACAGCAACAAAATGAATAGAAATGTCCACAAAATTCTTTATAAAGAGAAAATTCCATGGTATAGTAATAATTTAAACTGAAATGGTATGCACTACTTTCGTCAGTCAATGGACTCCAATCCACTTTGACCTTTATGGTGAAAATATTCTACAATAGCATGTGTCTCGCTCAATTCTCTCTCTCCATATGATAAAGTCTTCTTACATTTGAATGTAAAAATAAAAGAAACAGATCTCATTTCCAAATGCACCCTACCTTTTATGGACATCTTGTTTATCTCATATCCTCATGAAATATAAATTAAAAGCATAAGATAGTGGGGGATGTTTGGGGAAGTGTTACGTACAGATTCTCTTGTTCAAGCTTGTCAGCAAAAGAAACAGCTTTCCGTTTTGACCATCCATTTTGTGCTGTACATCCTTCTGGCTGCTGAATTACATGTGCAAGGGACACCTTGCTTGTCACTAGGCTTTGACTTTGATTGGGTTCACTTTGTTTTCCTCCTCCGGGGATAGACGCCATGTTAGAAGTCTTATGTGCAGATTCGTCTTCTCCTACGCAAGCACTTTCCAAATGTCTCCTTCCAGATTGCTCATTGTCATCAATATGCTCACTATGTTTCTGTTCTCTAGGAGAAGCTTCTATTTCAGCAATGTCATTCCTTCCCATTCCATCAGAGCCAAACTGCAATAGCTGGGCTTGGGTTAAACCATCTCTGTATTTCCCAACCCTTCGGCAGATATCATCATGAGCTGCCATAGGCACCCCACCACTGCTAAGAATCCCTTGGTTTATATACACCTGACATGAAGCATCCTGAGATGCTGGTAATATAAGTGGCACATGCATCCCTGATCTTACATCTTTCCTTGATTCACACCTGATTTCAATAGTCAGCGTGGACCCAACGACAGACTCAAATGCTTGCAAGATGTGCGCCTTAAATTTCTCTGCCTTAGATTTCGTTAGGTGTGAACTAAACATCAACTGAACAGTTGGAGCTGCAAAAACCATCAACTAATTAGACTAGACAAGAAGATGCCATACAATTGCCCAGCTAGAGAAATAAGATTCCATATAATTAGGAAACAATAGTTATTTCAGTCGCATTTCAAAGCAATAGACTATAGAGCACGCCATCAATGTGACAGCTTGAGGCAATTATGATGTTAGGTAAAAAAAAAAAAGAGAAACTTTTCAATTAAATGAACATGTAACAAATATGTATAATTTTCCAAATGTCACATGCATGTGATATATCTAGAATGAATTATATTCAATTTTTCTATGCAAATCCAAGATACAGAAGGGATGTCATCAGCAACACAAAGGATCCAACAAAAAAGTATAATCAAAATCGAACCGACTCAAAAACCAACATACAAAATGATTCAATAGGACTATGAGTACAGCAGTAATTTTTTTTTACTATCTTTGAATCAAATGCTCTCAACGAAGTGTGTAGTTTAGCATGGTAGAAGACAAAAGCATATCAAAGGGATGTACACAAGCTGAGCTTTGCCATTGGAATATTATGAGGAAAAACGAATGGAAGATTTTCAAGAGAGGCAAGCCAATTTGTTATATATACATGTGTGTGTGTGTGTTTTGTGTGTCCATATGTCTACATTTTGGTTGTTGAGTATGAGGCCATTTTGTTTCCACATCTTGGAATTCATAGGATATAATTTGGGGAAAAACTTGAAAAGGAAGCAAGGAACCTATTGAGACAGAATGGAAAAAAACTAAGTTTTACAGACAATGGTATGTAAGGGCATTTTGTCTTTCAACTAAAAACGATTTGTGAATTTCGTGGAAACTAAACCAAAGGTTAATGTCAGCCATTTCAGAGACAGGCTTTCATGTTGGTTAAGCTCCTTTTCAAACTCCCAAGGATGAGGTTTTGCAACCCCATGAGCGCATGGACCCATTCCTTGTATCTTTCTTGTATCCCAAAAAGTGGTAATAAGACAAGTAGAAAGGAGATAAATTAAATCAACTTGTCCACCCTGCTCTACATCTGTAAGCCGTATCCATTCCCCTCCCATGGTGGTTATACTGACTGCCACAGATGAAAGATTTTCATCAGGTATTCCATTGTCTACCAAAGCTATCATAATCTAGTCACTTTCTATTGTGGATAATATAATCCACTGACAAGGACCAAAATTTCATTTGAAACGGTCAAAATATCCGAAACATTTTTTGTTTCCAAGAAGACCGAAATGAATCAGTGATGGACTCAAAATTCTAATACTTCAAGTTGTTTCATAATGTTTTGAGTGTTTTGTAATGTTTAAATGTATTTGTACAATTGTTTCAAAATGTTTCAAGGTATTTCAAGATATTTTTGGTATATTTCAACCAATGTTTTGAAAAAATAATTCTTAATTTTTTTTTTTTTCATTCCATTTCCAAAATGTTTCCGAAATACGGCGAAATGTTTCTATTTTCTAGGTGATTAGAACAATGCACCAAAACGATATTTTAATCCTTATTCACTGATAAATTTAAATCTCTTAATAATAAAAACCAGAAAAATATCTACAAATTTTTGTTACTTGAATACTAAGGGGTTGTTTGGTTAGTAGGATTGGGGAAAAATAGTCCAAATAACACACAAAATCCATGTTTGGCGAAAAATTTGAAGTCTGGATTACCAAGCCCAGCCCGCTATTGGCTCAGACCTTAAACCCTAGATCATGGGTTTCATCAAACCCATAGGGGAGAGGTTCCGAATGAGGGTTAACGGATTTAGGATATAAAAAGACAATTATCTCCCATATGCATACAAACATGAGTTTGGATTAGATTCGTGAAGGGGCAAAATAGTCATTTACATATAAATATATTATCATAATAATGATATATCTGTGGACATACCAAACATAGGTATGAACCGCATTTAATCTTGAATCTCATCTTTGTAAAGAGAGGTTTGGGTTTGGAAGGGTTTGGGGAAGCCAATCCAAACCCTTCCCAAAAATCCATCCAAACAAACCCTAAAAGGTTTCACAAGTCTTCTAGCACCAAATATCAGCGATTGAAAAAATAAGAACAAAAATAACTGTTTTGGGATATTTTCCCTCAAACTATCTGTATCCACGATAGAAATCCCATCCAAATTTGAATTAAGTATCGTGTCATCAATCTATTTCGTATATATAATATAAACGGGCAGCATGGTTTTGAATGGTACCAACTCTTAAGTTAATATGATGCCACTCGGCACATTAATAGAGCATTTTGAAGAAAGACTCCTTGTCTATACAATGCCACTTGACACACCAGTTTGAGCATGAGAGAGTTGGGAGGAACAAGAAGGATAATTTCAATGAGGTATGGAGGAAGTAGAAGGGAAATTCCAATGAGGAATGGAACAAGCACATAGCACGTGGCTCGCTTCCATATATAAAAAGTTCTCTTAACTTTCTTCTGTCAATCTCTTTGATAACTATTTTCCCTACGATAATTCTTACAAAACGACATTTGTGGATAATTATCATTCATCTAGTCACCATTCAAATTTTCTAGCCCTTTGAAACTTTCATCCAAAAGATTTATATTCGTTTTAATCATTCAACCATAAACATATTAAATATTAGTATCCTCAGCATTCCAATATTAAATCAAGCATAATGCAAAGAAGAATATATTCTTTACAGGCTAGTCAGAAGATATAACAGACATAGGTGATGCCCGGACAGTTGTTGAGGCCGTGCAGGGGAGAACTTGTTCACATTGTAGTTATGAAACATCCTGAACTAGCATATGAATCCTATAGGACTTTACAAACAATGCCTAGTGTTTTTGATTTAGCATAGCTCTGTTTCGTGAGATTGTGAACCAATTCTCTTTGTTGGGATTTGGGCTTCTGTTTGTTCATGCTCTACACCAAGTTTGTTTTGATTCTTATTTTGTTAGGTTGTGTGTCGTTCCACATGCAAGCAGGGGTTTGCAAGGGAGAAGGGTGATATATCTCGTCCTATACATGGAAATATGAAGCCTTTTGAATTTCAATTTCAAGAGTGAGCAGGGAGAGAGATTTCAATTTCAAGTTGATGGAAAAAGGTAGTCGCTATAACAAATAAACCTAGTGGGTTCACAGGTGCAGGTCTGATCTGTGGAGAGTAGAACCTCTGTTTGGTGTGTAACAAAAGAGGAGTATAAAATCACTTGACACAATAGATAGGCTGTAGTCCAAACTTGCATTTGCTTACTATCCAAAGTCTTTCCTAGGATGGTTGGAGGTTTAGTATGCTTCTTTTGCATTGTTTCATTGTATACAACACATAAGTGATTCTCATATGTGTTAGCATGTCATAATTCTCTATTAACACATATACCTTGCACATTTTGACTTCCAAGAGTGCATCATTGACACGCAGTACAGATTTTTCTTGTTATGATTTCTACTGAAGTTCTTTGCTTTCTTTCAAGACAACCTTAACAAGGTTGTACTTTGTGCATAAGGCTCCCGCTTCTGCCTATAGCCGGAACTGTGAAAGGTAAGTAGTTAGTCTTATCTCTCATTTTAGAGAGACTAATTTCCGAACTCCAACCTGTGGCTCACTTTGGTAGATGAGCACGTACCCATTGCCCAACATCATAATTCTATAATCTGCTTCATGCGTGCAATAATGTTATATCTCCATATCTCAATTTAATTAATTATGTTAATCCAAAATTATAGGAAGTCACTGTTTTATGTAATATAGTCTCTTATTCAGGTATTTAATCTTCATTATTCGCTGTTTTTCCATCACAAATAAAATCAGATTTATAAAGAAACTCAATGAATGAAATAAAAAGCTGAAAAATACAACTTATTAGAGTAAAATCTTTCTAGTATCCATTGTACCAGTTAAGGAATATGCATAATTAATCTCACTCATGAAATGTTACCTTAGAGCATCTCCAACCTTGAGTCTAAATTTGAGTAAAAACTTGATTTGGTATAGAACATTCCAATAGACAAACTCAAATATCTATTCAAATCTTTTAAAAAATTTCCTTACTATCTTTGAACTCATTTTTTTATTTTTCCCATCAAAACATTTTATTCTCTCTCATTGTCCTGTCTTCATTCTCTCCCCAATGTCTTCATTCGCTCCCCAATATTAAAACAAAAAAGAAAAGGCTCCCCAATATTAAAACTTGTTTCTCACAAATTTCACCAATATTAACCAAAAGAAAAATCAGGAATACAACCACTTTGAGTGGTAAATTCATGAACTTCTTACCCTCTAAAGCAAGGGAATTTTTAAAAATATCTACTCAATATTAGCACAATATCAACTGACAATATTTATTGTCTTTAGTTCCTTCTCAAGCAACTTCCTTCCAAAACCATTCCATATAAGAGACGAGAGAAAAAGAGAGAGATTTTTTGGAGATGAGGGTTTATGAGAGAGAAAAAGGATAAAAGGAGAGTATATATATATAGAGAGAGATAAAAAAAGTAAAAAGTTACCGTCGAAGATTAGAGACAGGGAGAGGTGGTGTGGTCAGCGGTAACAATAGCAGCTTTGAAGATAGAGACAAGAGAGGTCAGAACTTATTCCATCGAAAGAGTCTTCTGGGTTTGGATATGATAAAAAATTACCGTTGGAAATTTGATATAGAATTTGAGTTTCTCTCAATTTTGGTCCAGAATAAATTTTATCTTGATTTGATATAAGTTTTGGTCTAAAGTTGAAGAAGTTTTTGGGTCATTTTGACTCAAATTTAAATTTGAGTTTAGATTTGAGTCAGGGTTGAAAATGTTCTTATATTCTTTTGTTTACTTACTTATTCGTGGTTTTCAGTTATTTAATAGAATTGTTTTAGAACGTATTTAAAACTCTCACTTTCCTTTGAATTATTACGTTCATTAGTTAATCTTCATTTCTAATAAGTGAAGATCTAAATTTTGAAACATCTATCTTTAACTCAATAATATCAATTGCGTAAAAAGAAAAATTGTCAACCGAGCCTTACTTTTACCTTATAAATTTTTTTTTTTAAAAGTTGAGTATCTCACGACTAGCAAACATTGGGGATAAATTCGCAAGCACCCCCTGATGTTTTCACCAAATTCTTCACTGATCTTTCCAAATCAAAATACCATTCTTTCCCATTCCAATACTTAATCTTCTAGTAGGTAACAGATTTTCATTATGCACACCCCTGAAATTGGTATTAAGGAAGTGATTAGTTTCAAGATTTTATAGAACCCAAAACTCATTCCCTTGCATTCCAAAACATTTTTTGGAAGGCCTAATGTGTGTAACCTCATTTATTTCCTCTTTAAGAGGGAACTTGTCATGCGTATGCACTCAAGTTAATGAAATTATGGTGATATGTCTTTACCTATGCATGAACTACGCCATTTCCATCAAAGGAGATGAAAAAGGGGGCCATCATTATCAAACTTGCTCATTTCTCCCATCCTACTTGTGCCTTAAAAGATATGAGCTAACTTAAATGGTTCAGCTGACAGTATTAAGCATTACTTTTCACCTACTAGGATTTAACAAACCATTTGTGCAATGAATTGTTTGGACCATTAGAACTGCCAAAGCTTTCTCAAAAAGTACTACTAACATTAAAAGCAAAAGAATACAATTAAGTGGCCAGACTTACCCCTTCAAGATGAGCTCAGAAGCAAACACTACCACAATCTATTGACATATTTAACAATGTTCACCATTATTTGCATTGTTTCCTTAACTTATGGTTTCAACCTTTATTCTTTTTCAAATCAACAAAACTGCTAAGAAAAATAGCTACTCAGCAAGTTTTTCTATCAAATCTCAACACTCTGCACTTTTATTTTATTTTTTTTGGGACTTAAATACTACATTCTTGTGAAAGCTGTATAGTGATATTATGGTAGCTTTATATATATAATTTAGAACAATGAATATGCTTTTCAAGTGTACACGAGATGAAAAAAAGAAACCACAACTTGAAGAAAAAGGCCGCAATTGATTGATCTGTTTCAATTCCCATCCGACCAAACAAGTTTAGTACAATACTACATCTAAAAATCATCGAAATTGAGAGTAAACACCATATTCCTATGTCAAGGTCCAATGAGATTGTAAAAAATTGAAAGAATTAGTGTCTATGTTTCCAAGAATTTGTGTCCAAACCCTCGTATTATTCTGGCAGCCAGAATTCTCAGACTTCCTTCAGCCAAAAAATTTCAGACATAAAATTGCTATAGATACATATACAGCACTACGAAACTATCTAAAGAGTATGGCAGTAGGATAATCAAGGGCATCAGTTAAAGGACGAATGCATGTTAGAAGTACCTGTGCCAAAACTGACAGAGACCAGCTTTCCTTCTTGATACAGGAAGTCTCTAACACTATTTATTTGTATCTTTTCAAGCACCTCCAACCAAATTTCTCCAATTTCTTTGGGAAATTTACCTGGTAACTGCCTGCTACTCTCTCTATTTCTTTCACCATGGACACCGAGCATGTCTTGAGGAACCATCCCCACCCCAGCCTCTCCTTTTCTGTTTATAGTAGTACCTCTTGTCTTATCATCACTAGGACTTCCAGCTTGGAGATTATCAATTCCAACATTTCTTGACAATATTCTTTGAGTATTAGGCATCTCAGCATGATCAACATTAGTTTTCCTGGGCATCTCTCTTCCACCTGTTAAGCCCAGGGGACTATGATTAAAACTTGTGTCTGCAGAGGAACCTGGCAACATATACTGCTGATCAGGAGCAAGCTGCAGCAATGCAGCTGTAAGCCATGTTAATCTGTCATTTGACATTCTCAGCTGCTTTTCAGCTTCAGACAATGTTTTTAGAGCTTGGCGCAGCTTTTCCATATCTTCTTTTGATACTGAAAGCAACATGGTTTTTCTGTCAGCCGGAAAGAATCAGAAAAAGAAATAAAAGAAAGAAAAGCAGATTGATTCGGAATCTAAGGCCAACAGGAGTTTGACAGGAAAAAATATTGAACTTCAACTAGATTAAGGTAGACAAAAAGGAAAAGCAAGATGACACAGGGAAAACTGAACTTCTTGAAACATGTTCGAAATGGAATAGGGTCACCAATGCGTTATACTATTTCAAAGTTTCAGATATAAATATATGAGGAAACTAAAATGCGTCACCACATGAGGTGCAACTCAAAACACTGAAAAATTTCAAATCGAACCCAATAAGTTGACCAATTGTTTACTCTTAAACTTGTGAGAGAGCACAAGACATTTGACTTACATGCTTGTCGAAAGAACTTCCTTCTAGGCCTTTCTTTCGTGAAATCATAGGTACCAACAAGAATATCAGTAATTACTGTGGCAAGCTGTGACATCAAAGCCAATGGCTCAACACCAGTCTCCATGATCTCTCTCAAATTCTTCACGGTATTAACTGTGTCTGCAGATAATGCTAAGTCTAGTAGATCTACCAACTTGACATCAGAGATGAGCCCAACCTGTAATACATAATTATTTCAGCAATTCATACATACCAAGGCGAGAAGTATACGGAAATCAGCAGGTTTTGACGTGTTATGCAGGTAATATTTCAAGGCATTAAAGCGTAGCATACACTGAATCCTGGCATGTAAATGGGATGAGCCCCTTTTTTCGGCATCTTTAATTATATGAGGTTAATCAAAATTTTTGAAAGACAAATCATGTTCAGCACATATTGAAGAGCATCCATGTTATTAATATACGTGGCATTAGATCACATAGCCACCGGATTTCATCTAAAAACTCCAAATTGTTGTTGGCCAGCCAAGAGAAAATGATGAGCACGCTAATGGCATTTACTTATACTCTTATTTCCAGTTCAGCTTTTATTTATTTATTTGATTACAAGCCTCGATCCCCACAGACCAAAGACATATGCCTCTTTTAACCAAAATTTTTGCACTCCCTAGGCCAAGAAGAGGCCTTAGGCCTGATACAAGGACTTCAATTCCCAAAGACTGTCAAGTAAAACATGTCCGAGGACTAGATGGGAATCTTAGATGAGCAATAAAAAGAGCCTATGGCTGAAAGGGAGCCTCAAAGGGGCTGTGAAAGATGGCATTGCACAAGCATCAAAAGGGCCCAGCTTTAATGGGCCATCATAGAGGTTCCTAATGCCATCCAATGAAGTTTAACAAACTAGGGAAAATTACAGAATAAATAACAGCCAAAAAGATGCAGGCCAGACAGGCATATTGGCCATATTAACAACGAGCAATAAAGGAATGCACTGTAGCCAGAGATGTTCATTAAACTGTGCAACCTTATCAACCCCCTCTGGTAATGTGAAAGATAGGAGCAACAATAAAAACCCAGCAAATCAACTGAGTAGCACAAAAAGGCAAGCAGCGTAAGCAGCACTATACTAGAAAAAAATATCGAACATTGATTTTAACATTTTAATCAAATATTAACCAATATATGAAAAGAGAAGCAATCCAGGCAGGAAGAACAGTATAAAACTAACCAGCTGTAAATACAAGCAATGGGCATCTTTACGCTGAAAAACATAGTTGCTGAATCGAAAAATGAAAACAGAGGCAATTTAAGATTAGGAAACTATTTACAAAAATCTCTCCCAGTAAGACAGATTGACACAACTTTTTTTTTTCCGGAACAATTTCAAGTATGTTGCAATTCCAGATTGACACAACTTACAAGTTCCTGAACCAGAGGAATGGTGATTCTCTGCCCGAGCAAACTCAGTTGTTCAAGGGTCATCTCAGCATCCCTCAGAGATCCGTCTGATCTTGATGCAATAAGCTTTAGCGCAGCCTTGTCAATTTCTAGATTCTCTTTGGTTGCGATCCATTGCAAAGAGTAGATAATATCTGCATCTTTCAACTTGGGAAAAAAGAATTTCTGGCACCTGGATATGATTATATGAGGTAGCACATCAAGACTCGAACAAACAAGGATAAAAACCACACGCCTGGGTGCTTGACTAATGATCTTTGATATAGCACTCCAACATTCACGCGAGAAAGTATCACAGTCATCAAAGATAAAGACTCTGTATTGTGATGGCAGCTTAGAAACAATCCTTTTGTCAAGTAGATCCATAATGCTTTCAAAGTTAAAATTACTGACTGGGCCTACTTCCCTTGTGTTTCGACTCTTACCCATGTCATGTGCTACGCACGAACTGCAAATCCCACAAGGTTTGGGATGCTCCAGAGACTGACAACTAATACCTCGGCCAAAAATGCGTGCACAGGAGGTTTTACCTGTGCCTTGAGGCCCATAAAACACATAGAGCAACCCAACTTTCCTTTTTACCACAGCATTAGAAAGAGCTTGGGCTACCAAACTCTGCCCCACCAGATCTCTGAAGGTTCTTGGCATGTACTTCTGAGTGAGATTTTGGTACCTAGCAGTGCGACGCATTCGATATTTTTTTTGATCACCAGATCTAGCTTCCGAAGCAAGGTCAGAATCAATTTCATCTTTAAAAAGATTGTCAGCATAAATGCCTAGCTCCCCGGAATAGTCATGCACCCAAGCAGCATTATCTGTACTTTCCAGAGACCCAGATGGATCAACAAGTAGAGGCAATGCTTCAGCATCAGACTTAGTAGATGAACCTGAGTGGTCTGGCATATCGTGCATATCAGAAACATCCCTCCCTTGAAGGGTTGTACCACCTCTCCTCAACTTTGGGTCAGACAATCCACAATTCAAGCTTCTTTCACCAATGTCAAGGAATGATTTTCCTCTATGATGAATTCTTGACCAATTCCAAGAAATACCACAGCCATTTCTGGGGGCTCTTTTGACATTCTGCTTCGCATACTCTTCATCTCCTTCCTCGATGTAATGTTTTGTGCGTGGTGCACCTTTTGCTAATGAATTAGAGGCCACAGACACTTCATTTTCAGCCCCAGCATCTTGTGAAGGTATAGCAGCCTGAGCTTTCCTTGTGCCTTGAAACTTACGCCTCTTTATTCTGTTCAGACCCCTGCAGTGTCCACGGATGCTTGCTTCAGCTACATCAACTGCTTTCTCACGTTGACTATGTCTTCCATGATGATGGATGTTAGATGAAGCCACATCACCACTGTCCAATGGAACCTCATTCAACTGCTCAGAAAAGGTCTTAAGGTTATCATCTTGCTTATGCGTCCCCTTTTGTCTGATTTTCTTATCCCTTGATTCGGAGAGTCCCGAAACTTTGTCATGAACCAAATTATTACCACCTTGTGGAAACTCATTTTGGCCATCCATGAGGACAGATCCCAAATTCCTCCCAGTCAATTGTTCCTTCTTAACTCTTCTGTGTTCCAGAATTCCACTCTTGGTACTATGATTGCTCACTGCTGCACCTTCATCATTACTCCTGCTTATCTCACCAGAAGCCACGTCTGACATCGGTACACTAGCTAATGGTGGCGAGCTTCCAAACAACCCTCTACCATCTCTCGGGTGCTCAATGCCAACAGACCGTCTTCCATTGCCCACCATGACATCCCTTTCACCTTTTTTAGACAACAAATCAACCACAGAAGCAGAATGCCATGAGGGCTGACTCATAGAAGGATCCCTGAGAGATCTAGACCTTTGTAGAACTACAAGGTCCCGTATAAGCGCCCTATCAGCGGATATGGGGCTATGCTTATGCATATGGTTCTTCAAATGAATACAATTGGTCAAATGTATATGATTGCTTAGATGGTCACTAATATCCCCATTGGCATCCTTAAGTATCTGGTCACGAACAGCCCTGGTCATGATCCGATCATAAATTGGTCCAAAACTAGAAATTTCCGTGAACTAGGAGAAGATATCAAAAGATATTGGATTCTCTTGATTCATTGCTGTCCCAAATCATCTTAATCATAGAATCATAAATACAACAGAATACATCAAAAAACAAACAGTGAATCCCATTAATGGGGTCTCAGTGTCGAAACTAATGATTTGATCCCAAAGATCACCCCATTACAAACTTAACGAGAAAGCATACATTTTTTCACCTACAAAAGCAACAACTTCAAGACCAATGATGACTCTCTCAAAACCACCCCCAGTATAAGCCTCCAGAACAACTTATTTTTCCCTCAGAGGATGCCACAAATCATGTGTCACTCATATATATATGCATAGACCCTCTTGCAACAGAACAAAACATATAGAAGAACACTCAAAACCCATTAAAATTAGGCATAAAAGTTCAATCTTTAGAGCTTCAAACTAAAAATGCCGCTTCAGAAGAAACAACATTCCTGGATCACAGTGACTCTCCAACATGCAAAACACATACCACAAAATACCCAACAAAATTACCATCTTTTTGAAGCTCTGAGCCAAAGAAAGTTATCTTCAGCTTCGTGGCTCAATGATGACAAATTGACAATGCGTTTTTCACAAAATGGCAGAGGAGAAAGCAAAGGTGGAGATCAAAAGAACATGAAATCGTTTGGACCAGAAGAAAAGAGTTCGAAGAACACTCTATTCACCTGAAACAGAGGTGCAACTGGCTAGGCAAGTGACCCGTTTACATCTTTAAGCCTCAGATCTTTCTCTACCTATTATCACTCTGAACTTTCACATGACCTTCACGAGGGTATTCTTTGAAGAAAATGATAGAAGGTGCCACTGGCATATATATATATATATACAACATGTTAGACAGAGAAACGGGTAGGTCGGAGAGAGAGAGAGTCAGCTTGTACAGTGCAAATGGTACTGTGCTATTTAACACAGAATCTGGTGATGTAAGGGATGAAGTTTTATAATGAGAGAGAGATAGAACTTTGCAGGATTCCGTCCGTTAGTTCTTGAAAATTGATACTGATTTCCTGTGATAACTCACAGAGATGACTGTAAATACAACTCTTTTAAATTCGAATTTTAGTAAAATTAAATCATGAGATTATTATGAATATTTTACTCTTGGGATGATCTGTTTTTGAACAGACAGAGAACTGAGTTAGTCTAAATTTGCGTAAAAAAACAAAAAAAATTGATAATGATCGGGAAAAAAAAATTGGTAAAAAAAAAAAGAAAGTAAAAATTGAAAAATTGAAAAACAAACACATAATATTATGATAAATTTTTTGATTTTTTGGGTGGACCGAAAAGGTCAGCTCTGTTGAAAATATAGGAAACTCCGGCAGAGTTAATAATCCAATAATGTATTCTTTAAAATTTATTTATCTAACTATTATTGTTTTAAATTTTTTTTGAAAATTATCATAGTTTTCAAAAAAAAAATATAAAGGTGTATATTTAAAATATGATTTTGTATTAAAAGTGTAGTTTAAAAATAGGTTATTTCAATGGAAAATGTGTGTTTTTTTTTAATTTTTAAAACCAACAATTATTTATTAAATTTAAATTTTTAATATTCAAGTAAATAAGTGTGAAAATAATCTTATTTTGATAATTAATTCCACTTCATGTAGTAAGTTTTTTTTCTCAATTTTTTTGTGAATTTTTAATATAATTGTTGTTTGTATGAAAGAGTGACGCAAACTTGTGCTTTTTATTATAGGTTACAAAATGCATTTTTACATACGAAAATTCAAAGTTAAACCGCATTCTCATAAAAATAACAATAACTTAGAAGATAAGTTAGAAAGTAAGATATTTAGAGAATAAAGTTACAAATTTATCACATTAATTAATGTACCCAACCACCAGAAAAAGAAAAAGAAACCCCCCCCCCCCCCCCCACCCCCCACCCCCCACCCACACACACTTGCTACCATCACATGGGGCATAAAGCCACCATAACCAAGAAAGACACACCAACTAGCACCACATTATGCAATCAGCAACCATGATAAGAAGCTCATGAGCTGGTTAATTTCAAGTTTACTTTCTAAAAAAATCAACCAAATGAATTTTTAAAACCACTTTTTTCTTTTAGAAAAAGAACTGACAACACTACAAAAAAATTTTGTGACGGCTGTGCTCATCTTCACAAAAAAAACATATTTTGAAAAAAAAAAAAATTGTGAGAATATTACAAATAATCTTTTTATAATGGCACTACCGCCAAAAAAAAAAATCTATAACACGTTTTTTTGTGACGATAAACATTGCCGCAGAAAAAAAAAACTTGTCTCAAAATACTCTAATTCTTGTAGTAAAACAAAATCAAACAATTCCCTTCTTTTTTTTTTTTTTCTAACATGCAACTTGATATAGATCAAGCAAGGACATCATAATGAAACAAAGCATAAAGAGCTCAGATCATGAAACTTTTTCATATCAGAAAGTTAGAATTACCTTATCACAGTCTAGCAGAAAGACACCACAATTAAGCTATAGTTGCAGGATATCATGAAAGTTATTCTTTTGATAAAAAAAAGAATACACAGAGAATATAAAGAGAAAGAGAAGGTCTATATTCTTCGATGCATGTGATTTGGAGAGGCTTAGGCATTAATTACAGATTAGACAACTAAAAAAAGAGAAATGTCAGAGAGTAGGTTAGCTATATAACAATTTTATTTATGGCTATTGTTTTTATATATGAAAATTTTGCAAAAGTGTAACTGACTGCCAGATAAGATCTTATGCAAAGCTTTTAATTTTCACCAAAAGTGTTTTGTAAATAAATCAATCTATTCTTATCTACTCTAACATAGATAAGATATATTCTTATAGATCTATATGTAATTTATTCTTACAACATATCTATATAATAAAGTAGTTTATAATTCAAATTTCAAAAGATAAATAAAATAATTTTTGTTATTCGCGGTTGATATTGCTTTAAATTTTACTTTAAAGTTAATCTAATGACTAATATTAACACCCTAAATTTAATAGGAAAGATAAATCTCTAAGGTTGTGTTTAGAGTGACTTTTTAAAAATACTTCTAGGAATTATTTCTCATAAATACTTTAAAAAAAAATAGTGTTTGAAACCGCTCTACCACTACCTCTACCACCGCCACCGCCACCGCCACCATTATCATCGCCACCATTGCCATCACCACCATAACCGCCTCCACTGTCTCCATCGCCACCGCCACCATCACTGTCATCGTCGCCTCCACCGCCACCACCATCACCGCTGTCGCCACCACCACCACTGCTGCAGTCACCACCACCACCGTTACCACGATTATTGCCACTCACCACAACTATCACCGTCTCCTACCATCACCTCTCACCCCCACTACAAAACCAATACTTAAATTCTTTAATCTCTTCTCTATGTTTGTAATTTGATTTTAGATATGAATACAAATATATTTTTTATTTTTTTATTACTCTGTACCTTCATGTATAGACAATAATTAGTCGATTTATATTGTATCAAAGTTGTATTATATTCAAATTTGTTGTACTCTTCTTTAGTGTCAATTGAAAATTTTTTTTGAGGGATTGAGAAATAGAAGACCGCTAGCCAAAAAAAAGGCAGTCTCTCTTAGGAACTGCAGTGTGACAGGAAAAAATGAGTATTCGTCTAAACTCGTCTCGTTTGGACTAAAGATGGACAATATGTATTAGATGGTGAACGTATACGAGAATACCTATATAAACTCATACGGGGATGAAGACAGGTATGAACTAACACTTAACCCTACCCTGCCCCTCCCTGCCTCTGCTAACCTGTGATATCCCACTTACCTATGAAGTTAATTTCAAAATTCAGTAGCCCACTTTTTTTTTTGTCCAATTAGGTAAGATCTACTATCTATCTTTTTGATGACTTTTATTAGATCTGTGATCTTTTTTGTTAGATTTGTGATGAATTTTTTAGATCTAAGGGTTTGTGTTGTGTTAACTATTGAAGGTTTTTGTTTCGGATCTATAATGTGTTAGATATGAGATTTTTAGATGTTGCTTATTCTAATTTTTTTTTTTTGGTTAAATCTGCAATTGTTATGTGCTACATCTGATTTTCTGTGTTAGATACATAATATTCTGAATTTTCTAATTTTATACTACTTGAATATGCCCTTTGTTGAATTCTGATTATAGGGTTAGAAATGATTTTTTGTTGATTTTGAGTTTATTCTACTTGAATATGATTTTTGCTCTTTGAAAATTGTTAGATATATTTTTTACTTGAAAAGTGCTGGATAGACTTCTTGTCTACTTAGTATACCAAATGTTAGTCTTTATTGATGAGAAGAATTATGCAGTAATTTTCAGTTGGTAACAGACAATTTTTTATTTTATTTTTTGGATTATTTACAATGTTGGATTATATTGGGCTTGACCTTGGGCGAGGGGTAAAAGTGGGGATGAGGTGGAAGCGGGGATTATAAATTTTACCAGCGGACGGAAATGAAAATAAAAATTATACCCGTTAACAAGGGTAGAGTGGGGATAGACAAATTTTTTTTAAGCAGGTACAAAAATGGAGACTACACTTCTCATTCCCGTTTCGGTCCACTGACATCCCTAATCTCTCCTATTAAATATGACCCAATTTCTCCTCTTTTCAAACTAAGTAATCTTGCTTGCATACTGTATTAAAATCAAAATACACGCAGTTCTTCCTACTTTGTAACAAAAATTTGCCACAATGGCTTGGTAGGACTAAGATCCTCCACAGATAACCCAATCAACCGCATGTACTTTTTTTTAAAAAAGAGGAAGACTAAGGTGCTAATTTTGGTATGGTACTCAAATTTACAATTTTTTAAGATTAAATTATACATTTATTAGGTAGAAGTTACAAGTGAAAAAATAATGGAAGTTACAACTTTGAAAGGTAAAATTATTATTTTTTTAACTCAAATTATACCTTTTCAAGTTGAAATTACATTTTTCAAAAAATAAAGGAGAAGATGAAGTTATAATTGATCGGGGTTATTCATGATCAATCATGAAGTTTCTCAAACACTTGTAACTTTATTTTTAAAATATATAACTTGATCTCAAAAAATAATAAGTTTTTGGTACAATGTTGATTTTTTTTAATACATAATATTGCCCTTTAGAAAAAGAGTTTTTTACGGTATTGAAAATAAAATTGAATACCGTATCGATTTTTACTACATCTGTGAGTGTTTTTATTATATTTGTAAATGTTTTTTATCATTATTGTGCTACTAAAAAAATTGATAAAAATAATTACCACAACAGTGATAAATATACATACAAATGTGATAAATCACTTATAAAAGTAATAATTTTTTTTATACAAAAAAAATAATAAAAATATTTACAACAGTGTTAAAAACACTTACAAATGTGATAAATTACTCACAAATGTGATAAATTTTTTGATTGTAAAATAACTCACAAAATTGTAAAAATACCTACTAAAGTAGTAAAATTTAAAGGTACGGTACCAAAAAAATTTCTATTCAAGTCCTTAAATAAAAGGGCATTTACTAGTCCAACTATCAATGTCTTTGTCGATACATAAAATGGATATGCATATAAGTCACTCTGTATATCCGTCAAAAAATATTGTCCCTCAACACCGTACAGATACTTGCAGTAGACCCACCACACCTATATCGGAGCCAAAATTAATGTCCCACCGTATGCTTTGGGCGCTGAAGAGTATGTTTTGTCCCTAACGAATTGATGTACTTATGAAAATTCGAACCAAAGTATTGAACGATGGAATTCTAAATTCTTATCCACGGAGCCAACAACTTGTCACGGTCACGTGTGTAATGAAAC